GAGGGTGCACATAATGCTAAGCGTTTTGAGCTTGCGTGGCCATCGACACGTCTACAGCTGCAAGTGACCACTGCTATCGCCGCTAGTTCTGCTAGTCTGCTGGCTGGAAGTATTTGGAGCCATCCAAGCACCGTGGCAAGGCTTGCCTCTCAAGCCACAGCAGAAACCATCGCAAACAACAATAAGCAGACAACACTGAGAGGCTTTCTCCTGGGTTTCTCCCTAAGGCAGCTTGCGGCTGGACAAGATTTATTTTGGGATCTCGACGGCCATCAGCGGATCCTTGATGCGGCTTGGGGCATTGGACACAGTATGCCCAAGAAATTGAAGGCAAGTATTACTATTAGTACTATTGTTCTTATACAGGTATTGCTATCATTATTACTACTATTATCATTGTTATGATGATGATTTTTACTTTTACCACTACTGTTAGTACTGAGGTCAGCTTCATGCCTGACGGTTAATGGAGACCTTCTTGTCACTGCTCACAGCGCCGCTCCGGTGGTGAATCGCTCGGACCTGGAGCCTTTGTCCATGTGGGTGGTTCCCAGAATTAGGGTTTTAGGGTTCTAGGGTTTAGGGTTCTAGGGTTTAGGGTTCTAGGGTTTAGGGTTCTAGGGTTTAGGGTTTTAGGTTTTAGGGTTTAGGGTTCCCATTTTGGGTAGCCCTTCCTATTAGGTGCCGTAATATGGTCTATAACCCGAAGGGGTCCATTTTTTTGAGAAGAATTCAGGTTTTGTTGTCGTCTACGGGCCTTAAAGGGGGTTATGTAGGGGATTATGTAACCCCTTTTGTTGAGGGTTTGGGGTCTAAACTCCTTGCAGGGGGGGTTATTACTTGTGGTTGCGGGTCTGGCATAGCCCATTTGATCCCATGTGTTTAATAGCAACCCAGTATAGGAGGTTAGGCTGTGACACTAAAAGCGAGAAGACCAGGCAGCGCGGGCCAGTCAAGCCCCGGAGGCATAATTAAGAAAAAAGTAATAAAAGTAATAGTACTAATGGTAGTAATAAGCGTAGTAAAATAGTAGGTAATAGTAATAGTAGTACGAATAGCAATAACAGGGCAGTGATAATAGCAATAACAGAAATAGTGGTAACAATAGTATGATCAGTCATAATAGTAATAGTAATAATTGGTTGCCCAGATATTGAACTTTTCCCGAATTTGACCGCAGGTCCCGGTCTTTCTGGATGTGAAAGATATACTTGGGTTTTTCGCATTGTGGTTTCTCGACTTGGGGAGGATGGAAGCAAACAGAATGTTTAGCCGGTGCACCTTCTTGAAGGATGAAGCCAACAACGCAAAAACTGACAGATCCCCCTAAACCTTAAACAGAATAGTAGCTTCCATTTGATTTTCCATTTGCTTTTCCATATGATTCTCCATTACACCTATATACCGCAATATATGCGCCTATTAGTACTTATATTACATTACTATTATCAGTATCATCAGTATTACGTATTTTTATAGTCGTACTAATATTATAAAGTAGACGCAGTCCAGGAGGTAGTTCCCAGAAGGGATTGCTGGGAAGTTGTGCATGGAGTAGCCAGTTCGACTTGCTGGGGGTTAGTAGGGAATAAGGGAACATACTATGTAGGGATTATCTTCCCTTATTTCCTACTAAACACCAGTAAGTTGATAGAGGAGATCTTTGCAGACTCTATGATCCGATCGCTGACCATTGCTGCAACGGAGACCGTTCCAAGGGCAAGCGTGGGGACACCGCCGGTGGCGTGGGCCAGCAATCATACCTAGCTTTGCACCGCCTAGCACCTGCAGCATGACAAAGCCTAAACCCTATAAACTCTATTCCTGAGGTGGAGAATCCCATCGACCCTAGGGGAGGTTTACCATGGTACTACTTGCTGGAGACGCCGAGCCATGCCCTGCAAGTCGAATCCCAATCCGTGTAGGGACCCTGCTAAAATGGCTACAGCACCAACTTGCAGAAGCTGAGGAAGGGGACACTCCAATGCCCTAAGTATGAAGATGTCAGGAGCAGAGTTGCATTTCTAGTGTTACTGGCCCTTCCAGGGCAGTTCGCTACATTTTGCACCAGAAGAGGGTTCGAGAAGCGTACCCTGGCAGGAGTCCGACGCTGCCTGCCTTCAATGTGGACAAATATGCCCCTTGATGCAAAGTGTAGATGCAAGCAAACCGACACCTGGTAGCAAAACGAGCTGGGCTGGCTTCTGCAAAAAAGACCAAATGAACCTTGGAGATGTTGCCTTCATGGACCCTGGCCAAACCAACTGATACTTTTGGCCTTGCAGCTTATCCGCTTGCTGTGAAGGTTGGAGTCTGGTACGAGCTTGCCTTCCACGACATTACCCAATGCAATGGTTGTGGTTGCACGCGCTTCAACATGACACGCCATGGCAACGTCATTGAAGATATGCTGCTTGGAATTGATAGCCTGAAGTGACTTTGAAGGGCCACATGGGCTAGCTGCAGTCGTTTAAGTAGCCAGGATTCACAGGGCTGGGCCAGGCTTTATCTTGCTTTGGGTGCAGCCTTTGCATTCTTGTGGTCCCAACGTCCATCCACTGCACGCTGCAGGTTCACCGTGACCTGTCCGTGGCCGTGGAAGAAGGGTGTTGATGGCCCCTGGCTCCCAGGGTACAATGCGAATCTCGGATTTGAGAGAAAAACAGCTGGACCAGTGCAATGCCGTGTAAGACTTGCGCAAACGTAGACAGACATTGAGTGTCAGCGTCTCAGGAACGGTAACAGGAGGATGAATATGCCTACGGCTTAGCTAGAAAGAGGCTTGCACTTGAGCACAGATGTTGTGCAGAGTATGATTCGGTGCGCTCAGGTGGACATGCAACATGACGATGTATTACAAGCCAGCAGAGCCAGGTGTCATGTTGGAGACTGGCTTCGGTCAAGAGTGCCATGGCCAGGAACAAAAAGCAACCCCACCCCAGGGCAGGCACTCAGAAGAGCTTAGGTTTGACAACATGGTCTTGGAAATCTGGAGCGACCCAGAGATTACAGCCGAGACTGGCTACGAGTACACTCGGGCGATACAGTTCCAATGCTTAGGCGGGGGGGGCGAGGCGGTGTGGTGTTTTATGCCTTTGCGGGCCCGACTGTGTGTAATAGGGCATAAGTAGGCAGAATTTCTCATGGCGAGCCTGGCGTTCAAGCTTTGAAAGTGCAGATGTTAAGTGGAGACTGAAAGCGAATGCAGGCTCCAAGGAAGACGGCATCACTTTCACTGGCATCAACTTTCTATCACGTGTCCCCATTGTCAAGCCCTTGGGACTGTAACACTTCACTGTAAGATCTATAGCACCGGTTCTTGGTGTCTTCCTTTGTGGGTTTAAGCCAGTTTAAGCTACTTGAGTGCCTGCAGCTGCACCCAGTGCCTAAGGCAATCCATGCTCAAAGAGATGTTCAATCGGGCACGGGCCTTGGGGCTCGAGCCCTATGGCTCCAACGTGTCGACCCCAGCTTCTCAATGCTTCTCAGACTTTCAGAATGGATGCGCAAAGAGAAGGCCAAAGCAGACTCAGCATAGGCGCTGTCTTTATGGCTGTGGTTGACATAGCAGACAAGCCCGCGGGAAACCTCGTGGGATGTGACAGCAGAACGAGCCAGTAGCCGTTGGCCATGTTGCATGCAGTGGATCAGTGCCTGAGGACATGCACGTCGTGGAGCATGAACCCGGGTTGCATTTCATCTGCCAGACCCAAGGAAGAAGCTCTAAGAGGGCGCTCTCAGTAGCGCATGATAAGGCGCTGGCAGTCTCGTGGAGGCTGTTGGTGTCATTTGCTAACAGCTGCTAACATGCAAGATGAAAGCCAACGATGGGGAATCGCAAAGCAACCTAGGCTGGATGCAGATATCCACAGAGCACGGATGAGTCATGGATGGGAGAGCGCCCTGAATGGCCTTTCCCGGTAGTTGCTGGAGACTTTGGGGCTCAGATCTGATCAGACTCGGCTCCCGCCATGCAAAGCGTGCAGGGCAGCCAAGCTAAAGGATTTGAGCATCGCGTTGGATGTTGGTTGTCAAGTGGCTCGAAGCCATAGTTCAGCCGTAAACAGTAAAGACGTAAAAGTTTTGTGCAGCTGCAATTGAATTGCCAGCGAGCGCAGCTGGCAACGTCTCAGCAGCTTACGTGGACCCGGCTGGGTATGACACTGGGCCTCCAGCGCACATCTACTTACAGTGCCCTCGGCAAAGTAGACAGCACATGACAGCACCATTACACTTCATGTTGCGAAGACACTGCAGGTTGATCTGATCGTAGTTGGCACAAGCTCAACCATTTCTGATGCAGCACTACTATCCGATGCACTACTGCCATCCCAATTTTCCACTCAACTAAGATCACGACACCACACCCTCCTTACTCCCTAGTGACTTTGGAGCAGACCACAGGGTTCTAGGAAGTCCAGGCCTGTCTGACTGTCACACCATGGCCAGTCATGGCCAGCCAGCCGTACCGAGTTTTTATGATGCGTGAACATGGGACCTGCAAAGCAAGCTCATCAAAATGAGATGCAAGTCCATGTCTCTGCATGTCTACCTGGTTGTACCTTAAGAACAGAGGGAGCAGATCAGCATGAAGAGTAGTATGTAGTTTTATGGGAAAGCTCAGGTGGGGTCCCCGCATGTAATTCCGCTTGGGGGTTGGCATTCAGCAAGCCAGTGCGGGCTTGCCGTAAAGTCCTTGTGTGAAACGGGCCCAGGGAACCAACAGCAGTACCGTTGAGCAAGAGGATCGATGAATTACTTGTGAGATTTGTTTGCTGAACTCCTTATCCAGTCGGAAAAGAGCCATGACGCTGTCAGTAAATCATTTAATTCAGCAGTGTTTTACTGAGTAAATTAAATCCCCCCCCCCGCCTCACCGCTTTTGATAGTACATCGCGCTCGCGCACCTTCCCCACCCCGGAGTCTTGCAATGAAGGCAAGCAGTCAGTCTCAAGTTGCAAGTGGCATGCGAACCCCAAGTCCGCTGAAAGCAAGTCGAGGCAGCAGACGGCGCTGCAAAAAGCCCACCAGCTGGAGTCGGTCTGGCAAGCAGCTGAGACCCCTTGATGCTGTCCTTGGGATCCCTTGCTTGTGCTTGCAATGTCTAAGATCAAGAAGTTTTCTAGCAGTGAAAGTTGGCCTTAATTGGTGAACCACGCCTCCCCACAATCAGCAACAGAAGCCTCCAGCTGATTGAATTCTAGGATGATGGGGCTTGTGTTGTGAGAGCCTGCAAGACAGTGGGCAAACCACCAAGAGGAAGAGTCCAAGCTCCTAACGGAATCAAAAGTCAATCTCGCGCATAGTTTTGTAGTTTGGCTTGTCATGTTGGCACAACGCGGCCGCAGTACTTCCTTAGGCCCGATTGACTACCGCTGCTTTGTGCAAACGTATTCACGCCTGCGCCTGCAAGCCCCCCGTCACTGAGGCCTCGAGGCCGCGCAAGCCGTTGGAGCGCCCACCACCTGCAATCATCCTGCAAGGCCTGGGTCTCATTCTGGAAGAAGAAGGGTACGGTGAGCCTTGGTTGTGGAACGAGCACGCGCTCCTTGTAGACAGTACTTGCTTGCCAATTGCGCAAGAGCGCTTTGCAAGGCATTCTCGGCTCTGATGGAGGCAATGCAGGCAATGGAGGCATGGGCATGACCAGCTCCTGGCTAGCAATGCTGACTGTTGGTTTTTGGTTGCATCCAATGGACAACTGATTCACGTAGCCAACCAAGGGAGTTGTGGGCTGGAGTCACTGAATCCAGTCAAAGTCAGAGTCCTGCACAACAATCGCTTGGGAGGCAGGACAAAGCTGGAAGGGGAGATAAAAAGCTTCTATGCTGAAAGAGGCCTGGAAGCATGCCTGCATCATGGATAGAGCGCATTGTTGCAGTTCACATCCAGCCTGTCAGAAGTCAGTTTCTGGCCCGTTCTCAAGAGCACCCCTTGCGCTCGAGTATGCACCACGTTCTCACCATGACACTGCATTGCCATCTACAACCGCCAACCTGACCCATCTGCCGTCGGGTCATGGGCAATATGACTTGTTTCCTGTGACCATCATTCTTGTTGCTAATGTGCTGACGCCAAGCGCCTGCTGCATGTTGCATGTGCCACCCTGTCGACCAGGCTTTGGCTTCATTTCATGCCCAAAGGTGTTCGACATGTTGAGGAGCGCTGGGATGCACTCATGATCAGGGATCTTGGACTCATTCGGGTTCAGGTTAGGAAGAGCTATAGTTGAATTATTGGAGCAGAAGGGGTTCATTGCCCGTTTGCCCCCAGAGAGTGCCAGAGGGCGTGGCTTGCGCAGACGATGGTACATGGAGTGGTGCAGGTAAATGCCTGCCAAAGGACCCTGTTGCTTCAAGTCCTGACACTTGTTCGGTCTCATGGCAAAAGCTCCTCGTGACAGAGATTGGTTCACTATCCCGGAGTACCCGATGCCGGGAAGTCTGGTGGGTGCGGCGGCGGGGCTGTGGGGAGTCACTCACGGAGCAGTTTTCGCGGCGTTTTTTGGAGCTTGCGGCCACAGACTTGTTTCTGCACTGCCTCTCAAGTTGAGCTTTGAAATGCCTATTCGCCAGGTGCGACGTTTACTTCACCCTGAATGAGGTGTTCGACGTGGAGGCTTCGAAGGTCGCGTCCCGCATGTGCAGAGCAAGCAGAATTCTAATTTCACAGTGCATGAAGGACCTTCATGACTCAAATTCGCTGGAGGTGGAAGAAAGAGTGCGCAAGGGGGCGAAGTGCAGCTTTTTCTTCACTCTGAACAGGGATAGCCGCCCGCAGGCGCATCCGTTCAAGCTGGGCTGTAAAGCACGATTATACAAATGTGTGCTGATGAAGGGTCGCACCAGGGCCATAATTCCAGGAGCAGGGAGCATGTGCAGTGGCATAGCATGTGTGAGAGACAAGTCGCACCCAGCTGCATGCTACTCGTAGAGTGTGGGCAGAGTGCGGTTAAGCGGCCAGAAACTGGAGAGGATCTCAGAGTCTGACTGATCAGCTGCCGTGTTTCGGCGACAGGCTCGCGTTGTTCGTCTGCAGCAGGGTGCCGAAGATGACGACAGGCTCAACCCAAAGTGCAAGACAAGCCTTCGAGTTGGCTAGGGGTATTGATAAGGCTGATGCACTTGCAGGCCAGCACCACATGTGCCGCGAAATGCCAAGTTCGACCAATCTGATGCAGAAGACCAGCAGTGTCCTGGCTGAGAGCTACGTCACTGCGTGGGAGCTGTTGAAAAGGGAGCGGCAACAAATGGCTACCGCTCAGTGTGATTGGTCCGGAACAAGGGCGAGCGCACATCCCGATCCAGACTCCGATCCAGAGCTCCGGATCAAGTCCCCGAATTCCGTTCCAGACCCCTCCATTCCAGACCATCGAATGCAATACCT